ACTAACAAATTTGTTAGTCTCTAAGGTGCCACAAGTACTCCTGTTCTTTTTGCAGATACAGACTAACACGGCTGCTACTCTGAAACCTGTCATATTTTTTAAAGTTGGTAAAATTTCATAAATATGTCTATTGTTATGGAGATCACACAAAGTAAATTAGTTCCCTTTTTCTAAAAGCAATGATCCATTGTTATGAACACACTAAACCTCTGTGACTCATTAATTTAAAATAATATCTTTGTTTTAGTGAGTTTAAATATGTAGTAATCTGGAATGATTACTTTATGAAGGTTTAAGAGTACATTTAAAATATAAAATCAGCTTAGAAATACTGATTAAGAAAATGTAAAACAGAGAAGAGCTGCATCATGTATTCCATAATATTTAATGTTGCATTCAGCAGGACAGCTGACTTGCCCTTACTACAAAGTTTTTGCAAATAAATATCTGACAAGCTTTAGGATATATAAAAAAAAACCGTGATTGACATTTTTTATTCCAAAGTTTAGTGCTTTTAATTAGGTACCTTTTGCATGGCCACTCTTCACCTTCTGGCATGCAGTGGAAAACATGTTCCATTTTCTTTAGAAAGAAATTGCAGAAGAGTGTTTTTTTGTTTTTCCAAATGTCATTTGCTTCATTTGGGTTCAGGGATTTGGCTGGAAGGGGGTGATCAGAGACGGGGAGGGAAGAGAGCAGGAAGATAGTTGAGTGAGGGTGGGGTCTGGGCAGAGTGGGTGCGGGGCCTGGGGCAGAGCAGGGGTGGAGTATGGGCGGGGCCACTGGTGGGCTGGGGAGCTAGCCTCCCCAAGTGGCAGCTTCACCCACCACCCATGACAGCAGGTAAGAGCAGGTTGGCTCCCGCCCACCCAGTGCACACTGCAGTTTCATTAGGCAGGGGCCATATTCACAGAGCCAAATGCGCCGGCGCTGCACATTCTGTGTGAGGGAGAGGCTACGGGGGTCTCTACAGGGCACTGTGACTCTCCGCCACTGTAAGGTGGGCCGGGTGGCTCGGTATCCTTTGCTGCCTCATCCCTTCCCTCCCCACACCTGCCTGGGCTGTGAGCCCAGGCTGCCGTCGGGCACAGGGGCTCCAGTTTAATAATACTGTGTAGGGCCCCATAAATCCTAAGGAAGTTCCAATACGCTTATGAAAAGTGCCCAGTTTATTAAAAACATTTGATTTAGATGAAAAACTTTATACCAAATATCTGTTTGTAATAGTACATGCAAAGTAAAGTGATGTATATCACATTGTTGCAGGTCTACCAATAATATTTTCAGAACTATATGAAATTTTACAACTCTATTTAAGTATTGAATGCATAAAATATATATTTTTCATAATGTTAAAAGTTAGGGCTTATATTTTCAAAAGTTCCTACTAATTCTAGTTGCCTAACTTGAGCTGCTTGATTTGCACATGTGCTCTGCCTCAACACATCTGAAAAATCAGCCCCTCAGTAAATCAAGTTGGGCTCTCAGAATCACTGGGTACTTTTGAAAGTGTTGGTTCACACTTTTTGCATACATAAATTAGATCAGATTTCAGCAATTCACCTATATTACTATGAATTCTGTTTACAGATTATGTTAATGAAGTTACCATTTGCTCTGTGTTTTCTGGAAGGTTATAAGTGAAATTACAATGTCCAAAACCAATATCTATCTAAATCCTTACAGGAACTACCAATGCTGCGTTTTATACTTGCTTATTTCCTTAAACATAAAACGTGATTTAAAAAGAAAAAGCCTTCGTTTGTTAAATATTTGAAGTAGGGCTGTCAATTAATCGCAGTTAACTCATGCGATTAACTCAAAAAAATTAATCGTGACTAATTGCACATATAACAATAGAATACCAAATAAAATTTATTAAATATTTTTGGATGGTTTTCTACATTTTCAATATTGATTTCAATTACATCACAGAATACAAAATGTACAGTGCTCACTTTATATTATTATTTTTTATTACAAGTATATGCACTGTAAAAATGATAAACAAAAGAGTCTATGTTCGTTTTAAGAACACTTTCACCGCAAATTTGACCAAATGCAAAGGTACCGATGTAAGATTTCTAAAAATAGCTACAGCACTCGACCCAAGGTTTAAGAATCTGAAATGCCTTCCAAAATCTGAGAGGGACAAGGTGTGGAACATGCTTTGAGAAGTCTTAAAAGAGCAACACTCTGATGCAGAAACTACAGAACCCAAACCACCAAAAAAGAAAATCAACCTTCTGCTGGTGGCATCTGACTTAGATGATGAAAATGAACATACGTCAGTCTGCACTGCTTTGGATTGTTATCAAGCAGAACCCTTCATCAGCATGGAAGCATGTCCTCTGGAATGGTGGTTGAAGCATGAAGGGACATCTGAATCTTTAGCGCATCTGGCACGTAAATATCTTGCAACGCCAGCTACAACAGTGCCATGCGAGCGCCTGTTCTCACTTTCAGGTGACATTGTAAACATGAAGCAGGCAGCATTATCTCCTGCAAATGGTAATCAATCTTGTTTGTCTGAGTGATTGGTTGACCAAGAAGTAGGACTGAGTGGATTTGTAGGCTCTAAAGTTTTACATTGTTTTGTTTTTGAATGCAGTTTTTTTTGTACATAATTCTACATTTGTAAGTTCAACTTTCATTATACTTGTATGAGGTGAATTGAAAAATATTTTTTTTGTTTTGCAGTGCAAATATTTGTAATAAAAATAAATATAAAGTGAGCACTGTACACTTTGTATTCTGTGTTGTAATTGAAATTAACATATTTGAAAATGTAGTAAACAACCACAAATATTTAATAATGGTATTCTATTGTTGTTTAACAGCATGATTAATCGCGATTAATTTTTTTTAATCGCTTGACAGCCCTAATTTGAAATAGAAGGAGAGAGTGGAAAAAATGAGGCTGTGCATGTAAACAATCCAAGTGCAAGATAACTACATACTGTACATGTGGCACCACAATTCAAACTTTTACTATGGGCCCGATCCAAAGGCCATAGAAGTCAGGAAGAATTTTTCCAGTGACTTCAACTGGAAACACCTAAGACCAGTGAAGTAGCAGTTCCAGGAATTTAGCCACTAGAGGGAGTGTTTTGTACATGAATGGGACCATCATATTGCTAATATTAATCAGTGGCACAACAGGCTCTAGAGTCTAGAGGCACAGAATGAATCCAAAATACCTGCACTTGGAAGCACTTTTCAAATATTCAAACTGAATTAGGGTCTTTGTTCTCCTGCCATCTCTCTCAAAATAAATGTATTGTGAGATACTGTTGTGTAATGACATTTAGTTTAATTCATGGGTGTGCAACATAACAGATAGTTCTAGTTATCAATTAAAGTCACTCAAGTCTGTGTTTCATCCCATGGAGATTTCAAATCATGAAGACCCAGTGCAATGCACATTGAAGTCAATGGCTGTCTTTTACTGATTTAAATGGTGTCTAATCAGACACCTGGATCCATAAGAATTTTTAGTCAAAACGAAGGGGTTATGTCAGAATCTCTTAATTGTTTATTGAGCAGCAAAGTTCTTTGGTTTCTTCACAGGTTTGGCACACATTCTCACTATTTAAAGAGTATAACAGGGTGTTAGCCCAGCAGTAGCATTATGCATGGCTATGAGGGAAAATTAAGTTCTGTTTCTATTCTTGCATGGTCTCACACAACTTTGAAGCCTTTTCTACTAGAGAATTGCTTGGTTGCAACTTGGCCTAGTATGATTGAGTGTTCACATTAGGTTTCCTGCTTCAGGTGCACACAGTATATATATCCGCACAGAACATTCTCTGCAAATGTTGTGGGACCTGTGCATTGTTTCACCAAACCTGCAGTTCCAGGTATAGTACCCTGGAGCAGTTGCGTAACTTCTGATATTTAAGGCCTGGTTTGCTGTTGTGTAGTCATTTACACCAGAGCAAAATGAGTTTAAGCGGTTATGAAATCAATGGTAGTGTTTTACACCTACTTTACACTGGGTAAATAACTAAGTAAGGTGCTGGGAAATGGAGAATCAGAGCCATGATGTCTAGATCCAACTACTTCATATTTCTGGTTTGTTCCTTTGCCTATTTCAGATGGCTCTGTCCTGCACAAGACCTGCTGCAAGCCCAAGGTAAGAAGCTTGAGTTTATTCTTTGAATTCATTTATTCAGACACTTATTTCAATTTTTGTTTGTACTGTTTTGTACTTTGCTCTGTACCTGAGCTAAAGATTTCCTTCTCTATTGTGTTTCCCTCTAGGATCGAGTTGGGAATTGATCAGACCAAAGTTCACAGGGAGCACATCCTTCCATGATGCCCAATCTGCCCTCTTCCTGCTAATGCAGTGGGATTCTCAGGCCATTCAGCTGTTTTTTTTTTGGTGGGGGTGGAAAGATGAAGAATGGGGGCTGGAGTAGCTTGGAAAGGTAAATGGATTTACTTGGGGGGTGGTAAAGAAGGTGGAATAGCTTTGCTGTTAGCCTTTAACTACTAGCCCTCTGTCCTTATGCTCTTTTTTTCAGATCTCCAGGGTGGGAGCAGAATGGCTGGTGTAGCAAAGCCTCAGTAAAGTAAGTACATTGTACACACACATTCACGTACATGTAGTGGCTGCTGAATAATTATTAATCTCCTTCATGGTTTTTCAGGTGAATTTATGTGCGACATTTAAGAAATACAGTTTCTTATTACAAAATGTAATATTAAAAGTGTTATCTTTTCTGTGATTCTCTCTTCCTATTTTTGGGTCCCTGCTGTTATGTTCCCCACTTCCTAAATCAGCCTCCTTTAAAGTATAAATATAATGTCAAGGAAAAAAAAGTTACCAAGAAATTGCTTTTTTTTTTCTAAAACACTGCTAGCCATCCCTTCTCTAAGTTACATACTTCGCTCAGGTACAGCATATTTAAAACACAAAATAACCTCTCCCTTAGACATCAAAAATAGTGAATCATGAAACAGAAGCTATAGAAAAACTTGATACAAAACTAAGGAACTTAATCCCCCCGTGATCTCAATCTCCCTTCATTTCTATTTTGTATTGGCTCATTTCAGGGGCTGTGTACATACTTGAGTCATTGCAAGGTCTGGGGAACTATGTATCACACATATGCCACCTTGAAATAGAAGTCTTTTCCTGTATCAGCATCTGTTTCTTTCATCTTGCATAGATCAACGGAGTCCTTGTTCACATGAAGGTAGTAGTTCTGATCCTCATAACACTGAAACCTAACTGAATCTTCTTCGTTGTAATGCATGATGAACAGCTGGTTTTCTTGTTCAGTCAACTATGAAAAACACACAAAGTGATGCATGTATAGTAAGGCCTGTGTTTCTAAAAAATCTCTGCCGTGAAAAGTTAAAATAGAGATGCTGCTGACTTATTACATTTTTTAAAAATGTAATAGTCTCCCTTTATCAGGTGAAGTGCGTCTGTCAGTACAGAGTCTGAACCTCATGGAAGGCCTGCTCACCTTTAGGACAATACAAAGATAGCTGCGAAAAACTTTCCGGCCAGGTATCCAAGGCACTGGAGCTGGGTAGGCCCAAACACCTAAAGCAGTCTTCTACCACTGTTAAGAGCAGCAACATTTTTCCTCAGGGCCATTTCTTTGCTCAAGACCCTTTTTGTTTTTCATCTTATTCTTTTCTTAACTTCTCTTCATTCCTCTGCTGCCTTCAAGAACTGCCTCCAGCTGCTAATTTCAGGCCAAAGTTCTAAGAGAGGTGAAGACCATGCCACCTGCATCATTGAGTGCACCTTCTCAGATGGGACTCATATGCTACACCTACCACTGCCAGACTCGCCCCTCCCTTAATGCTTTTGATACCATAACACTGAGAAGAGAAGGAGCAAGACAAAGAGCAACACACTGGTATGGACTTGACAGTTTCTCCCTCCCCCCATCACACACAGTCTGATGGCAGACTATTCCAGGCTCTGGTTCCAGTGAGTCCAGTGAAGGTTTCCCATCCCCACTCCTTTAAGACCATCTTTGTAAATCCCCTCCATTCTCTCAAGGCTGGGGTCTAATATCTGATTGGACACCCTGTATCACTGGAATTGGCTGGCCCTATACTACATACCACGAGATCCCAACTGCCCTGGTTTTACCCCATGTAGTTCCCGTGGGAACAGTTCCCTCTGACTAAGATCATCCTGACCTGGCATTTCTTTATTTACACCAATGGAAAAGCAAATTAAAGTGTAGTAGATACCTCTTAAAATTGTCAAAGAGACTTCAGACCTCTGAAAGCTTTGTCCTCCTCAGAAAGGGAAATTTTCCTCACCCTCTACTCCTTGGACTTCACTTTTTACTCTGTCTCTGATTCAGAGACTTGTTCCAGAAATGCAAAGCAAACTATTTACTAGGACTTCTGTCCTAGAAAGAGAAAGTGCTCCCAGGAACATCTTAAAATAGAAGGGGGGAAATAAACAAAACACAACCAACCTTTCCTGCAGTTCCTCTGTTTTCTCAGGTTACCAGAAAGATCAAGAGAGATCAAGTCAAAGTTACCATCACTCCTTTCTGGCTTAGGAGACATGCTCCTTCACGTATTAGAAATGGCAGCTGTCCATCTTGGTCTTTTTCAATTTCTCCAGACCAACTTTTCTGGTACCAGTCCTATACCTGAACCCATGCAGTCTGAAACTTACTGCCTTTAAGTGGAGACTGACATTTAAATTTGTTTAGACCTGAAAAAGGAGCTCAAAAAGCTTGTCTTTTCTGCCAAATGAAGTTGGTTCAATAAAAGCCCACCTTGTCAATTTAAATTTGAAGACCATTAAGTTAACCTGATTGTACCTTTGGGTGCTACCATAATATAACCGCTTTTGATAATAAACTAAGTTGTCTGAAACTTCCATTTTCCACTGGATTAGGATGTCTGTTTAGAGAAAATATGCCAAAGCCACCAAACTAATGTATTTTTGTGTGTTCACAAAATATCCACTATCCATGTCTACCTACAGGCCAGTTAAAAACAAGACTTTCTACACTGAAATGTGGTAAGCTGACACCCAATTGTCTGTTCACATTCACAAGATATTACAATGTTGTTTCATAGTCTTCTACTGATACAGATTTAAGTCGTAAGGTCCTGCAGTGGAGTAGTTCATTCTGAATTTCTGGTTTATGTTTGGTGTCTGTCAACTTCCCTTTTCTGGGTCTACTGCTTGTTAGATCCCAGTAGTTCTGACTTCAGATGAGTGCAGGGCTGGCTCCAGGCACCAGCTCAGCAAGCAGGTGCTTGGGGCGGCAAGTCGGGCTCTTCAACAGCAATTTGGCGACGGGTCCCTCGGTCCCTCTCGGAGGGAAGGACCCGCCGCCGAATTGCCGCCGAAGAAGAAAGCGGCGCGGTGGAGCTGCCGCCGATCACGATCGCAGTCTTTTTTTTTTTTTTTCCCCCGCCACTTGGAGTGGCAAAAACCCTGGAGCCAGCCCAGGATGAGTAGATGCACTGCTCTTGAGAATGGGACAGTTTTGCCTCCCTGTAAGTTGGTCTTCTCATAAGCATATATCCATCAGGCCAGAGTCCCCGTCCTTTTCTTCTTTCTGTTCCAGCTGTGATGTGTATTTGCAATAAGGACTTTAGCTTTCGTACTGAAAGTCTCTGTTTGCTCTCATGTCTGGGCTTGCCCAACTCCAGTGCTCTGGAATTACTGTGGGAAAACGTCTCTATCTTCTAGGTTCTACTCTAAGCCTAAAGGTTGACTCTGAACTGATGGATGCACTCCTAGAAGTTGACCACCAATTCACAGGTAAGCCATCGTTACTCTTTCACTTAATGTTAAAAATCAAAAAGAATAGGAATACGGGTAATTATTGGTGAAATGTAAATGATATCCATTTGTAGCAAATGGGATCGAAGCATCAGGGTTGTGCCCCTTGCACAGTTCCACCTATTGCATAGGTGTGTGCACATATACACACTTATTTGTCTTTCTGGCCACATACCTGTCTGGGGTCAGGAGCGCCACCTGTAATCTCTTCCATGCTGTGTCCTGCCACCATATGACCCTGTGGTGCCTTACCATTTGGATTCAAGACCTGTGAAGACAGCCACCAAAATTGGAGTTTCCCTTCCTATTCTGATCTGTATTAACCATGGGTTGTACATTCAATGCCTGACTAATTCTAAACAAAACTATCCCAATCCCTCTTATGGGAAATTTAAAGAATTTTTAAGAGACTTAGTGAGCACCTATACTGCAGAATGAACTGGGTGGAGACCAGTTACAATAAGATAGTTCCTCAACTTGGTTCAAAACACAATTCCATCTTGCAGCATAGATGGGACTGAATCATGTTTTTATTATATTCCCATAGTATGTTACAGCTATGGGGACCTAATCTATGCCAATTGAGCTCAAGGAAAATGTTCATATCCTTCTGGAGGAGAATAGGGCCCATGGACTTTCTAATGTTGTCAGTTTTGAGAAACTTAAAACCTATTCATTGAAAGCTGGAACTATGTATGAACCATGTCAGGGAATGCTGAGGTATGATCTGGATCTTCAGAACAGTTCATTTACCAGTGACAACAGTTGTAGTGCAGGGTTCAAATCTTTCTAGATTCCGTGGTACCCATTTCAGACAAGCAATTTGTGGACATTTAATCTCTGAATCAGGAAAATCCCTTGTAAGTACTTGCTCTCCTGTATTTTAATAGGAGTGCCTTTACTCATTCTCTCACAAAATGCTTTCTATAGAAAGTGAATTGTAAATTAAAAAGAAACAAAAAACAAAGTTTTTCAAATTTAACATGAGGAAGTGACACAGGGTTTGCCTACAGTAGGAAAAGCAGTCAGGGATAGCTATCCCGTTTCCCCTAGCATACATACCGGTTGACACTTTTTTGCCTCAATTTAGTTGGTTGAGATCCATCTTTAGACATCCTTCTGGAGTCAATCAGAACCAGTTAATTCAAAGTAAAAGTTATCTTATAACACTAGGGTAACTGAACCTTGATTGCTTTTCCTAATCTAGACAAACCCTCAATGGAGAACAACAACAACAAAATTCTAATTACACGGGGTAAGAGTGTTTAAAAGTGTTTTAAGTTTCTTTTCTTAGATCAATATTCCTCTATGTATATTGAAGCTCCAGTTTATCCCGAGAAGAGAATTCCACTTCCAAGCCCTCCTCTTTCACATGGAGTACCTTATGCCTCTTTTCCTCCCTTCTCTTCCTGCACACCACCTCTTGTTGCAGCAATTTCTCCCTCTCTAAAGGAAGCTACAACCTAGCTTCCCACACTGGGCTCAAATGATGTGCTACGAAGTACTAACATTTGCTTTCTAGCTTACTCGATGCTTTATATGCACTTTGTATTCTAAATCTCAGAGCACACCATATCACATAAGTGTGCTCTGAGATTTAAAATACATTACCAAGAGTAGCAGTGAAAGAGATAGAAGGCTGTGAGCATCCAAACACCAGAGCTCAGCACAAGCAGCTGAACTCTAATTTCCTTTAACAGGAGCAGGAAGGGACACTAAAGATTTTGGGTGAAACTGAAAAAGGATGAAGAAAGGCAAAGACAGTTTGATGAAAAGATGAAGGGCAAATATACTACTTCTTACCTTCAGACACAGTTGTTTCTTATTCTTGCCCAATAGGAGAAAGTTATTTTTTGATCGCTGGGTCATGGTCACCAAATTTTTACAACGTTTTTTAGTGCTGTTTCTGGCCACCAGAGCTAAAGTATAAATTTAAAATACCGACTCATTTTTTTCTGAATTGAAACATAACTCGAAAATCTCCTGAAGAGGCAATATTCAATTTTCACTGCATACTGATAGACACAAGAATAGCAACATGCCTAAGCACTCATGATATTGACCACCTTTGTAAAGTACTTTGGGATCTACTATATAACAACCATGGCTTTAAATCCTCCTTCTAAAAGTGAATGATGTGTACACCATGTATTCTGAGTCCTATTCATGGGATGGTTGGATTGACTCCTATTTGAAATGACATTCTCTCAATAGCATAACATCGAGGGAAACAATAGGGCAGTGCGAATTTTAACTAATTCTAACAGAAGTAGGTGAAAAATATCCATTTCTGTTGGCCATCTCAAGACCAAACACAAGGTTTAGGTTAAACTGGGAAAACTAATAAATTAAGGATCAGAAGCAGAAAGGATATGAACCAAGAATGCCTTCTACCAATTTATATGAAATGATAGACTGAAATGAGGATTATTGATTGGCTAGCTGCAGGAATTACCAAAGAGGGGTCCCACAAATAATAAAGTTCTTACTTTAAAAGGAATTCCAATAGTAAATAGAGTATGGCTAAATCCAACCAGGTCAGGCAGTATTTTTTCTGTTTAGAATATGTCTGTCCCCATAGTATCTGAATACCTTTACAAGTTCTACAAGACAGTGCAATTAAAGAGATTTTTTTTGTTGTTGCTCTGGAGAGCTTTGTACTCTTTAAAAACCAATTGGAGTTAATGGACCAAATTCATCCTTTGTGTCATTCAATGAACCTCCGACTGGCTGGTGTGCACTCTGTGGGAGACCCCTGGAAGGAATTATGTCTGAGTCAGCCTTCTGGGTATTCTAACTACATGGAATCCCTCTAAAATCCTTGGTAGAATGTGGGGCACATTCTAGCACAGTCTATTTATATGCAGGTAAATCTAAAAAAAGATAATGGCATTTAGATGGACTAAGTCTGCAAGAAGAAGGTATAAAGTACACCATTTAGTTGTGCCTCAGCAGGCAAATTATACTAATTTGAAATCTGGGAGGATATCTGAAGTAACTTGCAAGATATTTCAAGTTCTTTATCCTTGTGTTATACCCTTTCACTCAACGGGCCAAATTCAGAAGTGATGTGCAAATTGCACATCAGTGAGTGCATCTGCATATAAGGGAGCCATAAGACTGTAATTCACAGTCCAACAATCCAAAAGAGAGGAATATAGCAATAAAAGCAGCTGAAAGGAGGATGTAAGTTAAAGGAAGCCATCTCCTGCTTTGATCCTCACTTTACACCTTCTTCCAGCTGCCCAAATGTTTGAAACACCACCTAAGATTCCCATACACATTGGTATTCTGGTGTCAGTAGATTGTAGGGAGTCTAATTTATATATCACCTTTGAATATGTTTGAAGTGGCCTACTGAAGCTTGAGCATGAGCTTGGAAGCCAAGAACTTGTTGTAAATATAGCACTGCCTCATTGAACATTGGAATTAAACAAATCATTCAAACTCTCTAAGCCCATCTATAAAGTGGGTTTAATAAGACTTCCCTACCTAACAAGCATTTTTGATAACTAATATTTGTATAGTGCTATATAAATGCTAAATATTATTAATGTTCTGAATATTAATATCAGTCTTAGCGGCGCTTTGATACTACAGTGATGAGCATTATAGAAAACCTTGAGATAGAGAGGAATCTCTAAGATTAGCAACACTTTCTTATTGCATTACTAACTTTCTGTACTTCCCTTAAAGGTCCATGAAAAACCTTTTCAAAACCAAACTCTGACATAAACAAATATAGTTTTACTCTCTGGGCCAGAGTAACCAAAATCTTACCATAATTATTCGGTTTGTTGCTTGTGAATATGTCTAACCATGCAATATCTAAAATATAAAAAATATTTTTGCAATTAAACATACATATACCGCAAACTAAGATGATTTTACAAGTATTCTGCAAAAACGCAACATTCAGTTTTCCTGGAATATGCAGTAACAGCAATAGGCGTCATTTCCTTCTAAGTCTTGATCACTGTTTTGCATTCATATATACTTACAATGGTCTTATCAGCCACTTGCAGCAACTTGTAGGGTACGTGTAGATACACACGACAATGAAAGGCAGGCTGTGCCCACCCTGCAGTGTGTATCTGCATGCAGCAGTGAAAGGCTCTGGCAGGGAGAAGGCAGTGAGGAAAAGGCTCAGCACTAGGGAGCTGCTGGCCTTTTCCCACTGCCTCCCACTTGCCAGAGCCTTTTTTCCATTGCTGGAGCATTTCATTGCAGTGGGGAAGGGCTCTGGCAGCAGGGAGGCAGTAGGACACTATGTTGCTAAAAATAATGTAGAGGTGGGAGGCACTCCTTAGGCATGTAGACAGCCATGTAGGGTGTGGGTGCTGGTCTTTCGCTACTAGCTTAAGCAGTGCCTCACCATCTACACTGATGTTTATGCCTGTTCTAGCTGGGCATGCAGTGTCTATACTCTACATGCTGCCTTACGTGCAGGGCCGGCTCCAGGCACCAGCCCACCAAGCATGTGCTTGGGGCGGCGCCTGGAGGGGGGCGGCGCGGCAGGGCGCTCCAGCCCGAGA